TGAATGATTCAATACGATAAAATAAGGGAAAAAATCATTAATGTTCTCACTTTTTTTGTCACACATTTAAGCTGCTAAAAGGATAAAAGAGAATCCTTATGTTGGATTCAAAGCAGCAAAATGGAATCCATTTCTGTAAGATACCAGAAAAATTAAATCTGAGTCTCAGAATGCATGTCTATAGGGACCGCAGAAAGAAAAGTCCTTGATATTTTCCTTCTCCTCACCACCCTCATATAAAGTAGGTAGATAGCTACAGGAAGATATAACAACTGGAAAGCAAATTTGGTCTCAATTTACTAGCTTAAACACATGGCTTCATTATCAGGCTGACAATAATCATGGGTGGATGGAAAAATAATGGAACAAATGCTGTTGTATTTCATTATCCTTATGTAATGTTGTAGGATGAATGATGACAGGTCTGTAGGATCGTCTTGAGCAACAGGCCAGGAAAAATATACAGAAAAGCTAATATGCATTTTGCCTGGGAAGGCACAAGTGGAGAATGTTACTGCATGCTTGACCCTTTGAAAAAAAAAATCTCACAATAAATTTAAGATAGGACTGAGATTAGTCACATCTTAGAAAAAAATGCATGCTAATGTTTGCATTGCAATCTGTTCATCCAGAAGTTCTCTCCTTCACACACAGCGAACGCTTAGCTTTTTAGGAAGTGCTAAACACTGTGTTTTTAATTTAAGTATTTAATTTCTGTGTCCTAACACTACACCTTCTTCCCTCTAACCCCTTCCTTGTAAACATGAAGTGAGATTCTTTTTTTTGCATTAGTACTTGTAGAAAGCCTGCAGCCTTTTAGAGATTTGTTAGAAATATGGGATAATACTGGTTTACTCCAAATTAATTACTTTAAATCCTTGACACACAGAGCCGTGAAGAGGAAGATTAGAAATTGTTGTGTGCATGTTGACAGTGCTTGCCCCAAATCCTCCAGGCCTACAGTGAATGGTCTGATATTACCAGCATGGTGCATCTAGAATATTGTATTTTGGAGCAACGTTGAATATTGCCAACAATATTATTATGTTGCCAAATCAACAGTCCAAGTAGTAAAATTTACTCTTAAACGTCAATTGATAGAGTAATTGCTTCAAGTTGCCTCTTGTCATATGTGAAGTTTGCCCTGTCCATGTTGTCCTGAACCTTGATACGGAGCTTCCCAGGCTCAGACTTGGTGTTGGACTGTTCTTAACTGGTGGCCACTGCTAGCAGAGCCCAGATAAAACAGCCGAGAACTGACGCAGGTGTTTCTGCTGCTGGAGGGCATCACTATGCAGTCCTTTTAAGCAATAGCACCTCGCTTCTCAGCGTATGAAGCACGCTGGAGTTAGTGGGGCTCGAGTCTGCTGGTGTTCTCGGGAGATAACCTGAACATTGTGAGTGCCAGTTACTAGTTTCCATGCCAGAAATGAAAGCAAACCCCTGAGAGAGGCTCCTCCAAAGCTTGGCTTTGAATCCAGAAGAAAACATATTCTTCCCCAAAGTATGCAAAGCGTTTAAGGCAAAGGGAGGGGCTCAAGAAACCACAGAAGTGGATAGCAAAGTTTCTGCTGGGAGGACATTGGAAGAGGTACAGGTTTCTGGCACTTTGAACCTCATTTATTCTTTGTTCTGATCGTTTGCTTTATCTTGTCCCGAATTCCTGATCTAAAGGCGATCTCCTTTTCGTCGATCTTTTATTCGGTAACCTAGTGAAATTCAGAGCCAGAATAAATCAAGTTTCATAACAGGAATGTGCTTCATTTTGCATAGCTTTCCTATAGGATGCTATTAAAAAACCACCTTTCTATTTAAGCCTGCAGTGACACTGCAGTTGGCATTCGCTGCGGCTCTAAGAATTGGTTCCCAACATGCACAATTTGCACTTCCCAAGCTCTTCTCCCTGCAGAAGCCTGCGTGCTGTGCTCAGGGCGCTGCAGGCTCCTCGGCACGATCCCAGCCACCGGCACTGGGGGCTGCCAGCATTTGGAGCCCTTCTTAGGCCTTCGGGTAAATCTTCTGCACAGTCGGGCAAAAAAATGCTGTCGACAAGAGGGTGCCTTGTGAGAGGGCCGAGCGGAGCTCGCTGGCACTCCGGGGTGCTGCCACGGAGCATCCTCATGCTCGGGAGTTGCAGCCGCAGGCCGTCCCTGGAGGCCGAGGCCCCCGCATAATGCAGCGTCCGCTCCCCCTCGCACTGGAGCGATTGGAAACTGACGTGTGTAATACACAGCATCTGCTGAGGCTGCCCCCGGCCTGCAGGCAGGAGCGAGGGAAGCTCGGGAG